AAGAGAGTATCCACCTGTCCTTGATGAGTTCAGGTCACTGAGGTCAGGTGCATTACATCCTTGCGTAATGGAAAAACCAGCTGATAGTTTAAATGTGGCTATGTCCTCAAATGCTCTTGTTTCCTTGTTTGTCAGCTTCTGTCATCTGTACCTTCATTGCAGCCACATATAGGGAAGGTCATACCTTTGATTTCATCATGACTCACAAGTGAAACACCTCTACAGTCACTCTCCATAACTCTGATCTTCCTCTCTCTGATCATAATTTCCTATATTCCATCTCTTGTGTCTCACTCCTCAATCTCCAGTTTCTTAAACCTATTTTCTGGCTTAGATTTGACATCAGTCTCTCTACTTACCATCACCCTTGTCCTCTGTTTTCTTCCTTCAAAATCTTAATCCTAAAACCTTAATTCAATTAGTTACACTTTACACTGCCCTCTACCCTGGTCCTGTTGCTGCTTATCCTTGTCCAAACTCAAGCTCTGGATTACTCTTTATCATCTGCCTCCTCTGCTCTTGTAGGTGTGCTGCTGAATGCAGATGCAGGAACTCCCACTGTCATTATAGTTTTATAAGAATATCTATCTGTCTGTCTATCCATCCATCCATCTGTCTATCTATATCTATCTATCTGTCTGATCTCCCAAGTGGGCTCTTACTACTGCAAACTTTCTTTTTCTATGATTATCTCCATACGTCACTTTCCTTAGCATCTATTTTAAACCTTCTCCTTTCAAGCCACATATGCCACCTTCCCCCCCCCCCGGCTCTTAGTCAGTCACCATGTATTTAATTGCGTACTGTGTGCTGGGCTCTGTGCTAGGCTCTAGGGATACAGGTAGCAAGAAGGAAATGATACCTACACACACGAAGAGCTTATATTCTAATGTGGGGAGACATTACATAAATTCACACAGCATAAATGGTGAGTAAATACAAATATGTACAAAATAATTAAATATAGGATGGATTGGGAAGAAGACATTAGCAGTTGGAGGGATCAGGAAGGTCTTAATGTAGAAAGTGGTTCTTGAATTACATCTTAAAAGAAGAGAAGGGATTCTTTGAGGTAGAGAGAGATTCCAGAGATGTGGGATCCTTGGGTTTATCAAACACTAGGCTTCTGTGCTTGTTTGCTTCTGTATGTTCCATACCTAATGTGTTCTTTCTATTTCTTAACTAACTAAATTTTTTTGATGATTATTGCTTTGTGGTATAGTTTGAGATCTACTACTACCAGGTACCCCTTTGTTTTCCTTTTTTTTTCCATTTTTACTTTGATATTCTCGACCTTTTGTTTTTATTTTTTCTAGCTTGATAAAGTAGCCCTTTGATAATTTGATTGGTATGATTCCAAATAAGTAAATTAATTTAGGTAATATTGTAATTTTTATTATATCACCATGTCCTTGCAATGAACATTTAATCTTTCTTTGGTTATTTAGATTTGTCTGTATTTGTAAAGAGTGTTTTATACTTGTATTCATAAAGTTTTTATATATGTCTTGTCAAATAATCTCCTAAGTATTTTATATTTTCTGCAGTTATTTTAAACTTTTTATCTTTTCCTACTGGATTTTTTTTTGGAGGGTAATATACAGAAATTTTGGTGATTTATGTATGTTTATTTTTTAACCATCAGCATTGCTGAACTTGCTGTTTGATTTAATTTTTTAGTTGACTTTCATGTGTTCTCTCAGTAAGCCAACATGTTATCTGTAAAAGTCACTAATTTTGTTTCCCCTTTGCCTAAGCTTTCAATTTTTGTCTTATTGCTATAGCTAGCATTTCTGGCACTATATCTAATAGTAATGGTGATAATGAACATCTTCACTTCACCCTTGATCTTATTCAAAAGGCCTCTAGTTTATCCTCATTAGATCCTATTAATATTAAGCTGAGGTCCATTTATTCTTGTTTTCTAGTGTTTTTAAGAGGGAATCAATATTATTTGCTGTCAAAACTTTTTTCAGCATCTATTGATATAATCATATGATATTTGTTGTTCTTGTTATTAATATGGTCATTTATTTTTTATAGTTTTCCTAAGATTGAATCAGCCGTGCATTCCTGGTAAACATCCAGCCTGGCCATTGTATATAATACTTGTGCTGTATTATGTAATCTTCTTGCTAAAATTTTGTTATTAAAATTTTTTGCATTGATATTCATTAGAGAGAGATATTGGTCTTTATTTATTTTTTCCTCTGTTTTGAATTTCCCTGATTTAGGGAGTAGTAAGATCATACCGCTCTCATGGAATGAATTTGGTAGGGCCCCTTCTTTTCCTTTTTTTAAAAAAATTTTTAATTAATTTATTTTGAATTATCAGCAATCACTTCCATAAGTTTTTGAGTTTTAAATTTTTCTCCCTCTCCCTCTTCACTGCCTTGCCCAAGACGGCACTCAATCTGATATAGGCTATACATATATATTCCTATTAAATATATTTTCACATTAGTGATGTTGTAGGTAAGAATTAGAACCAATAGGAGGAACCACCAGAAAGAGGAAACAAAACAAAACAGAAAAAAAAATAGCAAATAGTGTGCCTTGATCTGCATTCAAACTCCATAGTTCTTTCTTCTTTGTGGATAGTATTTTCCATGATGAGGCCTTTGGAGATGTCTTAGATCCTTGTATTGCTGAGAAGGGTTAAGTCTATCAATATTAGTCATCGTACAACGTATCTGTTACTGTGTGTAATGTTGTCTTGGTTCTGCTCGTTTCACTCAGCATCAGACCGTACAAGTCTGTCCAGGTTTTTCTGAAGTCAGCCTGTTCATCATTTCTTCCTAATTTTTTTTTTAAAAACCGATTTTATAGTGTTGGAATTAGTTGTTCTTTAAATATATAACAAGTCATTTGTAAATGCAGCTGGTCTTTTTTTCCCTTTGGGAGTTCATTTATAGCTTGTTTTGTTTCTTATAAAACTGTGTTATTTAATGCCTCTATTTCTTGTTCTGTTATTCTGGGTATTTTATATATTTGTAAATATTCATCCATTTAATTTAGATTGTCAGTTTTTTTGGTATGTAATTAGACAAAATAATTCTTCTCTTTTATTTATTGGGGTTATAAATTCACCTTTTTCACTTGATACTGATAATTTAGTTTTCTTCTTTCTTTCAAAAATCAAATTAGTTTCCATTTTATTGGTTTCCCCAGGTCTGGTTCCCCCATTTTTCAAGCAACTACTTGCCTTATTTAATAATTTCCTTATTTTTCCTTTATGTTTTGTTAATCTTTTCTTTGATTTTCAGGATTTCTATTTTGGTATTTAACTAAAGGTTTAAAATTTTTTTTTGGTTGTTGCATGCCCAATTTATTAATCTTCTTTCTTTTTTTAATCAGTGAAACTGTTTAGAGATTAAAAAAAAACATTTTCCCTAAAAACTGCTTTGACTTCATCCCCCAAATTTTATTATATTTCTTATTGTCATCTTTAGTGAAATTATCTATTCTTTCTATTATTTGTTCTTTGACCCATCTGTTCTTTAGGATTAAGTTATTTGTTGTCTAATTAAGTTTTAATCTTTTATTCAGTGACCCTTTATTCAATATAATTTTTATTTCATTGTGGTGTATAAAAAATGTGCTTATTATTTATGCTTTATTGCATTTTTTGGTAAAGTTTTTATTCTAGAATACATGGAAAGTTGAAAATTATGTATACTCTTTCTTATTCCTATTCAGTACTTTGGCATTGCCTTAATTCGTTTTGTTCCCCCTTTTGTATTGCCTCTTCTTGTCAACAACTAAATGTTCCTTGTACACTACTTTTCAAATTCCTTCTCTTTTCCTTTGTTAACGCTATACCCTGATGCGATGCGTAGAATGCACTTCTTCCTCACTATTGCATTTTAGACTCTGTCTTCCTTTCAAATCATAGCTCCATACGTCTCATGGGAGCCCTTTTGTGATGCTTTAGTTGGTAGTACTCTCTCCCTGTTGAAATTACTTTGTATTATTTTGTATGTTATTTGTATATGTATTGTGTTCACTTAGTAGAAACAAAACTCCTGGATCTCAGGGACTGTTTATCTTTGTATTTTCAGGGCCTATCAGAGTGCTTGGAACTTAGTAGTCACTAAAAAATGTTTATTGAATTGAAAATGAACCAAATTGCCTCTCCCGCATATCTGGATTCTCATGGTCAGCTATTTCCACAGTTGATCATCCTTGGATCCATCCTCTCAATCCCACCAGTGACTATTATGTCACCTGCCTTGCCCATCCCTAATCTGGGTTAGCCCTTTTCATATGCTTTTTCCACTTCTGAGATACTAAGTTTTTAGGGGAAAAAAAGGATATTTGTCTGTGTACATGTTGTATTTCCCTTGTGCACGATGTATGTCCCTGCTCTTTGATGGCAGAGACAGGTTAGTCTTCAAGCATCTCACCCAGTGCCTTACACATAGTGACCACTTAATTATGGTGTGTTGAAGTGAACTGACCCATGTTTCCAAATCTTAGATTCTTATTTTGTGATTATTGTTTGTTACTACGGGAAATTAAGTAGAAAAGATAGACACCAACTACATTCAGTTATTATTGCTATACTTATTTTACGGCTTTGTTACGTATTAACAGATCAATTTAAAATAGAATTACCAAATTCTGAAGTCACATTAGATAAATATTAACATAACTATGTCTAATTGTATGTAAAATTATCATGTTGTTTGATTTTTCATGAATACATACTATAATTTCTCAATTTCTTTACTAATTTCCTTTTTGACATTATAGGATCATTTCAGTTAAGGTTTTCCTGTAAGTTTTGCTAATTACAATAAAATTTCAGTACAATAATGTATCACTTTTTCTTTACCATTACTCTTTTTTTCTTATTTCAACATTTTGTATTCTAATATAAGAATGATCAAATATTGTTTATTTTAAAAAGTACATATATTTGTACACACACAAATGTAGTAAGCATAACAATTTGGAAATGTATTTTAAAAAATAAATGGCTTATTTTTCCCTCTTAGCTGATTTGAATAGGATGCACAGACAAAATATAGATGCGTACCATAACCCAGATGCAAGAGCACATGAAGATAAAAGGGCTGTTGTCTCTCTAGACCAAAATTTAGCCACTGCAAATGCTGAGAACCCAGAAGATCCTGCAAATACAAATTCAGGTTTTTAATCACATTCGATTTTATTACATTTCTAATATATCACCTGTCTTTTCCTCTTAACTATGAAAGTTCTATATCATGTCCTAGTAAGAATCTTTTTATTCTTGTGATATAAAACAAGTTGACCAAGCTATTTAAAACAGATTTTTCTTCATAAGTCTCTCTTTGTCTGTTTGGCATTACTCTTTAGTTGGCTGCTTAATCCTCTAGCTGCTTCTCAGTTCATATCGCTTTTGTTTGTTGATTTTCTTTTTGTTTGGACTGTTTGATGTGGGAGTTTGTTTTTTGGGCAGTGTAGGGCCAAATTTACAAATTCCAATAATGTTATTATTACTTCATATTTGTTTATTTGTGGAGACTGTGTAGAGTAGTAGCTGGAGTCAGAAAAACTGGGGCTGAAATTCTGCCTCTGACACAGTAACTCTCACCATGGGCATATATGTCACTTACACTCTAGATTCTCCAGGCAATGTCTTAAGGGCTTGAGTTGCTCAGCTGAATCAGTGGAAGGAATTTCTACACTGAGAATTTCTTATACAAATGAAATCATAATTTGAAACAAAAAAAATAAATAAATGTATCCTTCCAGGAGAAGTATAAGCTCCCTGAAGACAGAGACTGGTTCATGTTTTTCTTTGTATCCTTAGTGCCTAATATAGTGTCTTTTATATAGTAGGCATTTAATACATTTTTACTAAATTAAATTTTGTTTGTATATGTGTGTATATATGCAAAAATGTATTAAATGCCTGCTATATAAATTGATGTTTTGAAGGTTGAGTTTAACATCTGCCACTTAAAATTCAGTTTCATACTGTTTCAAGTGTAGTTAGAAGCCTTTGAGCCATCCACAAGGCACAGTAGGGAGAACTGGACTTGCAGTCAGAGAGCTGAGTGTGAATCCTGCCTCATTTGCTAGCTCTCTGTGACCCTTTTGTGGCAAGTTACATAACCTCTTTCATCTTCAATTTCTTCATCTAAAATTGGGATAATAAACTGGGATTTTTGTGAGGATAAAATGAGATAACTTATATTAAGTGCTTTGCAGACCTTATGCAAATGCTACATGCTGTTATTGTTAATATAATAAAGGTAATAGAAGAAATCTTGGAGAAACCTTCATTTAAAAGAGACCTGGAAAGAGATGATTTTGCTTAGTCTTTTGTTTTGGAACACTTGTGAAAAACCATTCTTATTTTGTTCTTTTTCTGGTTTTAGCTGTTAGTAATAGAGAGTTTAGGAAACTCAGATTCTCTGACAAACAAGAAAGAATCCTGAAGATTCCTTTCTTTGTATATTAGTCTGTCAACATTTATTTAGTATTTTCTGTGTTCAAAATAGATTGCAAGGTGCTAAATAACTGTGAGAATATAAAGTTATTCTTGATATGCCACTATTATTTCCTGCTGTATTTTGTCTATTACTACTAATTCTGCTGTTAATGAAACAGATTTTTATTGTATAGTTACTTTTATTCTTGCGCTATCTATGCCTTATACTTATGCTTAGAGATTAATGTTAAATCTCTATCTCCTCTCTTTGTTTTGATTAAACATTAAAACACAAATTCCATAAAATTTAGTTCTGGAACCATTTATTGAATGCTTATTATATGTAAACCCCTCTACTAGAAGATATATATTTTTTTCACTTTTTAGATAAAAGGTATTTAATACATTAGTGCAATTAAAGTATTTTGTGTGATTAAAAAAAAACTTCATGCGCAGATTTCATTCATTAAATAAAAGCTAATTTTAAAATATCGCATCAGTGTTGAACATCACCCAGTTTATGCTAAAGTACAAGCTTTGTTATCTCACTTTTGGAGGACATAGGGAACTCAGAATTCCAAAAGGAATTTTACAAATTATAAAACAGCCTGGTTTTCGCTGGTTTTTAATCTTCATTTGGGCCTATTTCCCAAATAGAGGGGAGCTTTCTTCTTAGTTGCTGTGTCTTCTTATTTTTAGATCGATTCTTCTGTTGGCTAATATTTATTTTGGGACCTGCTTTTTACCTGTTGACTTTTTTCTGTCTCATATTTAAGCAGCACTAGACGTTCCTCATGTTTTTTTTTCCCCCTAAGTAATTTATCCCAGACTTCTCTTGTAAATTTCCTTCTAGTTATATCTGCCTATTTTCTCATCCTATCCACTTCATTTGAGTTCTAATCCTTTCCTCCAGGGTGTAGACACTGTACTTAATGTTGTTTTGTTAGCTTAATTAGCATACTCTCGATTTTATTAGAGTTATGCTGAAGAGGAACTTCATGATGGAAATTCGGTGTTTTTAATGCAAAAAAAAGTCCCAATGAGAAAAGTGATTGACAATTTTGTTTTTTTCTTATGCTAATTCTTTTATTTTCTGTTATTTACTTTTAAAGTATTTAAAAAAATTTTTTTACCTTTGCCTTTGGTTAATTTTAAACATATAGACAAGTAAACAAAATAAGCTAGTCATGATAGTCAGCTCAATGGAAAAGTAATTAACATGTTCAAAACCAAACGATTAAGAGAAATTTAGATATTGGAATGTAGCTCCTAAGACTGAACAGAGATTTAAATGTAGATGAAAAAATACATTTTCGGGGCATAGCCTTTGGAAAGGCTTAATGGCACTGTTTTTTAAGTACCTGTGAAATTTCTTAATGCTCCAAATTAGATGTGATACTGTTCATACTTGAAATCTTTTATAAGCAAACATTTTTTAAATTTTACATTCTTTACCTGATTTTAGAGGAATACTTTTTAATTCCTACAGAAAATCTGTAGCTATAGAGATATAGTAAAAGGAATAGTCCAAATTTTATTTAACATGTAATTGATGGAATTTATCTTTTAGGTTGAGTACATTAACAAAATTAGTAATTTTAAATGCTGCGTATGTGTTTATATATGTGTATTAGGTAAGAAATTCTCAAAGTGTTAAATGTCACCTCCTAAATAAAGGAAATTCATATACATCAGAATCCAAATGAATATTTTATATATGTAAAATATCTTTTCAAAAGCCTTTTCTACAGTGATGACTTTTGCCTAACAGTATTTTTCTTTCACCTCTTATTTTTTTGTGTAGGTATATTTTTTGTTTCAGCTGTTAGCTTTGTTTGCATTTCGCTGTGGCTTTACCTTTTCTTCTATTTTATCATATTGGTCTGGGTTTGTTTGAATTCTGCTCTCTCACTCTTACCTCTTCTCTGCTGGAATGACAAGTTTAGTATATTTTCCCAAAAGAAAAATTGAGAAAATCTTTTTCCTTTTACCTTTGTTTTTAAGATAAGTTTTTATTTGAGCAGATGCTAATTTTAAATTTTGTAAAATATCTTTTTCAAGGTCAGATAGGTACACAGAGCTCTCCTTTTGCCCGGGGAAACATTTTTGGTGAGCCGCTAACTGAGCTTCAGATTAAACAGCAAGAAGCTTACAAGAATTATCTTCGTTTTCAGGTGAAATATACTATTTTATCATACAGATTTTATTAAATATACACATTCTGCTAAATATGTAATAAATATTGCTAAATATAAAAAGATACTTTTATCTATTAAATATATTTTAAGTTCTAAAATGTTGATTCAGATATTTAATGTAAAATAATTTATATTATAAGGTCTATATGAAATATCACATTTTATTGGGTAATAAAATAATAATCAGAATTCATATGATGCCTATAAAATAGCACTGTATGGGGTATAGTTTGTAAGCATTGCTTTATACATAGCAATTCATTGATTATATATAAATGGTATATGGGAAAATGAACATTTTCACATTGTTAAAGCAAATCACATTTGCATGCTTGTCACTATAGCAATTTAATAGGCCATATGCGCTGACAGTTCTCAATTCAACTATTACCTTATAACAAACTGTATATTAGGTAATTTTCTTAATCTGAACAATGTATAGTTGCAAAATTCTCACCTTCTATAGTCACAAAGACCTGGCTTGTCCAACTGAATTATATTCAAAACAAGTTTCCTAAGAGTGCTGTAATTTTTAATTCTTCTTTTCTCTTACAAAAATGCTCTGTACATCACTCCTTTTTCACTAATTACTGAGGAATTAGATGACCTGACTTACGGCAACCTATTGAATGTTACTATTAAATCGTTATATTTGGAAGTCTGTGCCTCAGATTTGTTTTCTGTTTCAGATGATTAATATTAACAATGGAATTTAAAATAGGAAAATTGTTATGTGTTTTTATATTCTGAATATGTATATATCCATACACATATATACATATACATGTCCATAAATATACACACACATATGTAGATACCACTGAGATACCAACACCCAACCTATTACTGTCCACTATATCCAAATTATTAGTTATAACGATAAGAAGCTCCCGTTATTCAGCTTTTCCAGCTGTGTCACATCCTACTTCATCTCCTGCCCAAACAGCATACATATGCCTGATTGAGGCCAAAGTGATACCTGGATTCTGGAATAGGTAAATGCCTATTACAACATGTATTCCTCACCATTTCCATTTCTTTGTTCAAACTTCAGTTAATTTCTGTTCACAGAGTCTTTCTTACTCAAATGTATAGTCTTATCATCATTAACCCCCTTTTTCTTCACTTTTTCCTTTCTACCTCCTGCTCAATTAATTAACTTAAGGAAATCTCTTTCCATCTTTGGTCCATTTTGTTTATATCCCTTACCCCATCACCTTCCCACATCTTCCTATTTTTCCTTAATTATTAACATTCAAGATAAAGAATATTTGAATAACAAATAGTTATTCAGTTTTAGTGATTTTTAAAAAAATTCAATTTGTAGCATACTATTTTCTTCTGTTTCTCTGTTTGGGATATGGTATTTCAGCTGTTTTATGAATTGGAAAGATTTTTGTGGACTAACTTGGAAATCTAGCCACCACTTATAATATCGTCTCTAAAAATTATATTGTGAATTAAAATGGCCAATTTAGAAATTATCTTTGATAGCGTAATTCATTTTTAAGTTCTGTCCTTTTTTTTTAATCTCAGCTTTACTACTGTTGCACATATCTCACATCCAATCCCTTTCTACTGCTAATCCAATTATCCTAGACTGTTTTTAATCTTCTAACTCACTCTCTTGATTGAGAAAAGAGATCTGGGCTTCCTCATTGCTAATCCAATTATCTTAGACTCTTTAATCTTTTTCTCTCAGACAACATGTCACTCTCTTGATTAAAAAAAGAGATCTAGGCTTCCTTATTGATAATCAGTCAATCAACAAATATTTATTAAGTAACTGCTATGTACCAGATATTTTGCTGAGCATTATGGATACAAAGAGAAAAGCAAAACGGTCATTGTCCTTAAGGAGCTTACTTTTTAATGGTGGCAGGAATGGGTATGTACATTTAGAGGTATAGTTAGGACATAAATCAAAGGCACTATTACCATCAGAGGAAGCACTGGTAGCTGGGGGACAGGAAAGACTTCTCATGGGAGATGGCACTTAAGATAAGTCTTAAATGAAACAAAGGAATGATTTCAGTAAATGGAGGCAAAGTAGGAGTGCCTGCATCTGGGGCAGCCAATAAAAGGCATGAAGATGGGAGAAGGAATGTTTTGTGTAATGAAGAAGTAGGCCAGTATGGCAAGACTATAGATTGTGGACAGGAATGATGTGTAAGTATACAGAAAAGTAGGAATGGATCAGATTTACATGTCAAATACTGGAGTTTATATTTGCTGTCTGTGGTGATAGGGAGATGCTAGAATTTATTGAATGGGAATTGGGGGATAAGATTTGTACTTTAGGAAAATAACTTTGTTGTGTCTATGAAAAATAGATTACAGTAGGGAGACTTGAGGTTGAGAGACCAAATAAGAAGTTATTTCAATATCAGGAAAGAAGTGATGAAGACCTGAAGTAGAGTGTAAATGGTGGGAAGGAGCCATATCCAATACATGTTGTGAAGATAGAAAGGACAAGATTTGGCAACTGATTGTCTATGTGGTTTGAGTTGAGGAGCTGAGGTTTGAGTTGTAGAGTTGAAGATGATGCTAAAGTTGAGAATCTGAGTGATTGGAAGGATATTAGTACTCTGGGCAATAATAGGGAAGCCCAGAAGAGGGGGTAGATTTGGGGGGGGGAAAGGTGAAACTCTGTAGCCTGTCATTTGAGACTTTTCACAGTCTGACCCCAACCTGCCTCTCCATTCTTGTTTCCTAACTACTCTCTATTTCGAACTGTCTGCATCAAACTTCCATTTAGCTCCTGCTAAACAGAGCCATTGGAGGCAGCTAGATGGCCCAGTGGGTAGAGTGCTGGACTTAGAGTCAGGAAAACCCGAGTTCAGTTCTGGCCCCAGACACGCATTAGCTATGTGACCCTAGGCAAGTCATTTAATCCCTGTTTGCTTTAATCCACTGGAGAAGGAAATGGTACACCACTCCAGTACCTTTGACAAGAAAACCCATAGGGATTCATGAAGACTTGGACACAACTAAATGACTGAACAACAAAAACATACTCACACATTCTCACACATGTGCTTTTGCTCACATTGTTTTATCTCCTTTTCTCCTTTCCACGTACTAACTCATATACTTTCTTCTAAGGTCAGATAAATTCCCACCACCTTTCTTCAGCAGTAGCTGCCCTGTGATCTCTCCGTATCTTTCCCACATCTCCCTCCTGAGTTCTGTGTCTGCTAGACATCTCCATTTCGATGTTTTATAGCTACCTCAAACTCAACATGTCCAGAACAGAACTTGGTATATTTCTCTCTAAACACTTTCTAACTTCCCTATTACTGCCCAGAATACCCCCATCCTTCCAGTCACCCAGGTTCTCATGTGGTGTCACCCTCAAGTCCTTACTCTCATACCCTCCACATATCTAATCATTTGCATAAGGACTATGAATTTGGCGGCTCTGTGGAGGATGAATTGGAGAGGAGAGAGACTGCAGGAAGGGGAAACAGGAAACTGTTGAAGTCCTCTAGATGAGAGGCTAGAACTAGGATGGCTGTGCTGTCAGTGAAGAGAGAAGGGGCTAAATGTGAGAGGAGATGCATCTACAACTCGAAGACTGCTTGGGTAAGAATTGATCTGGCTCCACAGTTGAGAGCTAACCTGGGTGACTAGAAGGCATCCTGAACAGAAATAGGGAGCTTAGAAAGAGAGATTGTTGAGTTTGAGGTGCCTGTAGGACATATAGGTGGAGATGCCTACCAGACAGTTGGCAGTGCAGATCTGGAATTGCATGGGAGTGATAGCTCTAACTACGAGAACTGATTAGGATAATACCCTGGGACAGTTCTGGAGCACACCCAGGATAGGGATTATGGTCCATAAAAAAATTTTCTGAGAAGGTTAAGTTGTTTAACATAACAACAACCACAACAAATGGGATATCTCAGCACTTAAAATCATGGATGCATGTTTGCAGAAGTGAAGAAGTTTAAAATGTGGCACTTGCCTGAAAGAATTGTCAATGCAAAAATAGTACAGATTTCTTATTTTATTTTGTATTTTACCTAGGGGGCATGTAGATAAGCCCAATGAATTTATAGACACAATGAAAGATAATGACCATGGTTGTGAATAGATTGTGTAGCTTATAGAATGATAGAGAAGATAGTATTCTAATTAGTCAGTAAATGTAAAAATTCATATCTGGATTTGTTTTCTAGATTGAAGAAAAAAAACAAAGGGAGGAAGCAGAGAGAGAGAGGCAGAGATGTGAAGAAGAGAAAGAAGAAAAACGTTTAGCAGAACAGAGGGCCAGAATTCAACAAGAATATGAAGAAGAACAAGAAAAGAAAAGGGAGAAAGAGGAGGAGGTGTACCAATTTTAATCAACTCTTTTTTTTATCATAATGCTTAAAATTTTATGAGATTAGAAGTGTTTAGTTCTTTATTAGCTTTTACCTGAAAAAAAGTGAGTTCAATACATGATGTATGTCATCACAAAAAGCATTTTGGAGCTTATTTTAATCTTTCAGAAAATCTTAAATTAGTATTTACTTATTTAAATATATATAATCTAATGTCATAAACATATTTATTAATGTGAAAGATGGTGACTTTAAATAGAAAAAAAATTTTTAAAAACCAAAGTTATTTTTTGTTGATCCGTGACAGTTTAATATTAAAGATAGTATAAAAATTTTAATGAAGGACAGAGTACTTGAATTTTTTTTTTTAAAGAGGATATAAACTTTCAGTTTGATCCTTTTCAGGCAGTTAAAATGCATAAGGGGCTGTGTGCCTTTGTGTGAATTTTTCTATTAATAATGATTCTTAAGCTTTATTTTATTTTGGTGCCCTTAAAAATATCTTTACAGCAAAGACTAAAAAATGAAGAGTTGATACGGTTAGCTGAAGAAAGAAGAAAAGAGGCAGAAAGAAAGAAGAAAGAAGAGGAAAAAAAACATGATTTACAACTTCAACACTATTATGAACGAAAAAAACCAGTTGAAGAACAGACAACAAAGGTATGTTTGAAACAAAAATTTCAAAGAAATTACTACAGTAAGAGACTTTTAGACCAGCATCAGAGGAAAATATGCTTTGTGCTGTCAAATCTATGTGAAGATGATGCTATAGACCCATTACCAGTATACGTTTTGAGGCCTTGATATGTTTGTTATTTCTTCCACTAAGAGGTAAGTCATTTTGCTTGTTTCCCTTTGTGACCAAGGGCACCAGCTATAGAGATAGCTAGTTTGAGACAATTGACCTATGGCTGTAGAACTTTCTTTCTACAAAGCTATTTTCCCTCACATTCTTGTTTATATATAAACAAGGTGTATTGTGATATAAATATATATGTATATATATATCACATTCTAATTATAGCTTATTTAAGAAAACCTGAAATTTGAATCTATATTAAAAATACATTATGTGTGATTATAAACTTTTAAATTGAATTCACAACGTGGTTTTGTTCATAAGCAAAGCCCCTCAATGCATCTAGAATATTATTTGATTTATACAACTTTGATTCATATCAGATTTTCAGAAGCTTTTTCCTAGACTAGAGGACAGGGAAACCTTATATTTATATATTCTTTATATTTCTTCAGTGCCTAATATAGTCATCTTTGCAAATACTTAATGAATGTTTGTGGATTGATTAGGAAAGGCATCTATTGTGTAAGTAAGACTTGTAGTGCCACACTCTTAACTAGCTCAGACTCTTCCTCTAGTGACTTGATGCACAGACTATAAGATTTTCTTCCATATTTTAGTTATGTCTGACAATTGTAGCAAATTAATCAGCAAGTATTTCTTTTTTAAAAATTTTTTTAAAAAAATTTCTTTTGATTTATCAACAATCACTTCCATATGCTTTTGAGTTTAAAATTTTTCTCCCCCTTCCTCCCCACCACCCTCCCCAAGACAGCACACAATCTGATATAGGCTATACATTTACATTCCTGTTAAACATATTTTCACGTTAGTGATGTTGTAAGAAAGAATTAGAACCAATAGGAGGAACCACCGGAAAGAGGAAACAAAACTCAACAGAAGAGGAATAAAAATAGCAAACAGTATGCTTCGATCTGCCTTCAAATTCCATAGTTCTTTCTTTGGATGAGGACAGCATTTTCCATCACAAGGCCTTTGGAGATGTCTTAGATCTGTGGATTTCTGAGAAGGGCTAAGTCTGTCAACGTTACTCATCACACAACATGGCTGTTATTGTGTACAATGTTCTCCTGGTTCTGCTTACTTTACTCAGCAACAGACCATACGAGTCTTTCCAGGTTTCTGTGAAGTCAACTTATTCATCATTTCTTATAGCGCAATAGTATTCCATTACATTCATATACCACAACTTGCTCAGCCATTCCCCAATTGATAGGCATCCTCTAATTTCCAATTCTTTGCCACCATAAAAAGAGCTGCTATGAATATTTTTGTACATGTGGGTCCTTTTCCCGTTTGTATGATCTCTTTGGGATATAGCCCTAGAAGTGCTATTGCTGGGTCAAAGGGTATGCCCTTTTGGGCATAGTTACTAATTGCTCTCCAAAATGGTTGGATCATTTCACAACTCCACCAACAATGCATTAGTGTTCCAATTTCCCCACATCTTCTCCAACATTTATCATTTTCTTGTTTTGTCATGTTGGCCAATCTGATAGGAATGATGTGGTACTTCAGAGTTGTTTTGATTTGCATTTCTCCAATCAATAGTGATTGAGAGCATTTTTTCATATGAGTATAGATGGCTTTAATTTCTTCATCTGAGAACTGCCTGTTCCTATCCTTTGACCATTTATCAATTGAGGAATGACTTGTATTCTTATAAATTTGACTTAATTCTCTATATATTTTAGAAATGAGGCCCTTATCAGAGAGACTGGTTGTAAAAATTCTTTTCCAATTTTCTACCTTCCTTCTAATCTTAGTTGCATTGGCTTTGTGCAAAAGCTTTTCAATTTAATGTACTCAAAGTTATCCATTTTGCTTTTTGTAATACTCTCTATCTCGTTTGGTCATGAATTCTTCTGTTCTCCACAGATCTGATAGGTAAAATATTCCTTCAGCAAGTATTTCTTAGCACCTATTTAGCTAGAGTTCTTTTTTTCCTTTTTGAAGCTACCTGTTTTATTTTTGTTTAACTTATTATTTGATTTGAATGTTGAATATGAGGTTTGTACCATCCTTGTCTCCTTGAGGAACAACTTGTGTTTATTGTCAGAACATAGGAATGTAAATGTTAGTGAATACATATTGTATCATTAGAATTATTTAAAAAATAAACTAGAGACAATCCATGTAATTTAAAGGAGAATTTGAAGAATCTAAAAGATCATCTGATTAACTGATCACTTCTGACTGTTTACATTAATTTGAATCCTCAAGAATAAACAAATGACTAATGATTAAATTGAGATAAGATTAAGTTTTTTAAGTGGGTGGAAAGAGTTTCTAGTGAAGTTAATCAGTCAACAAAGCATTAAGCATCTTCTACATCCCTGACAATGGGCTACTTACTGAGTTTACAGAGTTGGAAATGAAAACTGTGGTTAATAATTAATAAAAATTTATTAAGCATCTTCTGTGTCCCTGATACTGGGCTACTTGCTGGGTTTACAAAGACAAGTGAAAAATGTAACAGTCCTGCTCTCTATAGAGGCAACTAGATCACTCAGAGCACTGGACCTTCAGTCAGGAAGACCTAAGTTCAAATCCATCCCCAGACATTTTCTAGCTGTGAGACCTTAGGTAAATCACACCCACCCTCTGTTTGCCTTGGAACCAATTAGGTGTCTTAGTTGGGCCTGGAGTTGGGAAAGACCTGAGTTCAAATTTGGCCTCAGACTCACTAGCTGTGTGACCTTGGGCAAGTCACTTAATTTCTGTTTGCCCTAATCCACTGGAGAAGGAAATGGCAAATCATTCCAGTGTCTTTGCTAAGGAAACGGTCCTCCTGCCTCCAGGGCCTATGTTCTATCCACTGTGCTACCTAGCTGCCCCCAGAGGAGTTTCTTTTTGATATTAGAGGTAATCGGGGATCCCTGGAGCTTATTGAGGAAGGGATTGACATGGTCAGACCTGAATTTCAGGAATATTCCTTTGGCGGCTATATGAAAGATGAATTGAATGAGAATTGAGGCAGAGACCAATTGGGAGGCTATTACAGTCATCCAGGCAAGTATGCTTCATGCAGATCACCTAAAGAGAAGGGAAAAAGATGAATTTGGGATATATCATAAGCCTAGCATGGAGGTGTATCATAGTAGCCATGTGGAATTCAGTTGCCTGAGTATTGACCTCTCTTTACATCAAAAGCAAAGTAGTAATAATAAATAAATGCTTGGTTTGCCTAAATCAAAATTTCAGCATTCAAAAGGTGGAGCAAATAGTAGGGACTTATTTTGTATTTGATTCGGACCAATATGGAGGAACAGAGAGTCGAAGTAGAAATGATGTACGAATGTTAAATTTTATTATAGTAATTTCAAAGGGTATAGCAAATGGGATAGGTAAGATCCCATGGATGATTTCTACAGGGGAAGTAGCCCAGAAGAGATGGAAGATTCTCCCAAGAATGAAATTCTGATGATAGAATCATAAGCAGTTCTTGATGAGAAGGGGGACATTTCTAGAGGAACCAATGTGGTCATCTACAAGGGATTCATGAACCAACTTAAATTTTAAAGAGATTTTATAAAAGATGGAAGCAGGGGCTGATAATGGAGTATGTATTCCTGTTGCAGTACCATAAGAACTGTGTTGGGATTGATAAAACTTGGGGTGAGCCAAGGCTGGCAAAGATTGCTAAGCAGAATAAAATAGGATGGGATGATATGGGTGATGTAAAGAAGGCTGGGCTTTTGAGCTCTTTATTTTGCTTCTGTTTTCACTACTAAGGAAGATGATTGATTCTTTGTACTGAAAAGGACAGAACAGAATGTCTAATAGGGAGTTGAAACACAAGATAAGGATTTGTGATTTCATTGATGTGGGTAGCTCTCCACTGATATGGATTTCCATCCTCACCATACTTAAGTGTAAATAGTTCTTAAGAGTTGCTGTCATTGAAAAAATTAATCACCCATTGGTAAATATTCTAGTGATGAACTTTTTAAAATTTAGCTAGGTTGGTCTTCTGAACAGACAGATACAGCTTTAAGGAACCCAGGGTCATCTCCACACCTATGCTGTGCATAGGAATGGTTGGAGATTAATTACAAATTCCAAATAAAATATGCTGTTAAGTAATGATGATTTATTCAGACTTTTTGTCTCAATAACCAAATGATCTGAATACACAAAACAGGTTAAAGGCGGAAGCAAAAGTATAGTGCAAATAATAAGATGTGAGAAAAGAGTGTTCCATTTGTAGTTGTAATTAATTTACTGTTAATTAACTAGAAAAAATTTAAGGCTAAAACAGATATTAATGTTGGTGAGAAACAGTTGCTATTTAGCTTTTGTATTAGTCAAATTCTTATGTTTTTTGAATTTAGTAATTATAGAATAATCATGGACTTTTTGAGTTATAGTATATAAAGCTAATATAGTATATGTTAAGTTAAATTATCATGCCATTTTCCCCCCCCCCCCATTTTACATACTTTAGTTTGGTATAAAGCTTATCTTGTTTTGTTCCAAAGAATATTCCATCTTTGAATGTGGCATTTGCTTTTTAAATTTATGCTAATATAATTTTTATGTTCTATGTTGTGTTAATGTATGTTGTATAAGGACATTTTTGTCCTTTTCATCCTGCTTAGTATGTTATTTACCTATTCGAGTAGAATAGCATTTTGTTAAGAAATTTCACTTTTTAAAAGCATTTGTTAACAGTTTGACATATGTGCTTATCTCCAGAAATCCAGATCACCTTCTCCTGCAGTTCCTGCTGTTCAGAACAGAATCAAAGGCAAAGTCGATAGACCTCCTTCAGTTGCATCTACCGTGATTCATGTATGCTTTATTGTTACCCTATAAATCAGCAATTGTTTTAGAAATGATCACTTTTTGGAATGGGGTGGTTATGAAACTGCCGAGTTAAATTTTCAGGCCTCAATAAAAAAAAATAATAATAAAAAATTTTCAGGCCTCTAGTATTACTAGTAGATATGTTAATTTATCAGCAGGATTGATTGTAAACCATGGTGCACGATGGCATAAATTTAAACTGTTGACTCAAGATTTTGCAGAGGAGCATTGTTTCCCTCCCTTTCATTTATGCTCAGGAGAAAAACCTTTTCTCCCCCTTTGGTTGAGCATTTGACTATAGCTAGAGCTATTTCAATAGTTCTTAGCTTATGATAATCCATTTCATTTTAGGCCAGTGATTACAGTACCTATATCTATTTCCTTTATTTATTTCAATCCAGTCTCCAGCTTCTTCAGACTGTTGAATTCTTTAGAGGAGATTAAGGTGGAAGAAGTAATCTGTGGAGTCACTGTTTCTTTTGTGTCAGTGATAAAGCTCTCATATATTTTTTCTCAAAAACTAAAAATGATTTTGTTTTTCTATATGTATCATCAGTTATTAAAAATTTTTTTAAACACATTAAAACCTGTGCCAAGTGCTTACCAAACTTAGAATTTGACATGTTTCCCCCCCCCAATTACTACATACGTTTCACATAAGTCATCTTTTTAAAACCAAGTTGGGGTTGATGTGCACACCGAGCCTCTGTAGGCTTATAATGTTGCTGACATGCAGATGTTCCCTCATGTCATTCTTTCACACAACAGACTTTAACAGCCTTTTGCATGCAATGAACTGTGCTTGGTACTGGTGGAGATTGCAAAATAAATAAGACACAACCCTTGTACTCATAGATCATACAGTTCAGTATCCAATCTTCTTCCTGCCCTGTTCAGAGATGCAGCTGACAGCAGGCTGTTTGGGTTCCTGCCCTAAGCAATAATATCCCCATGATGTTTTTTTAACAGCTGCTTAAATCTTAGGCTCAGGGAAAACACTCCACTCCCTCAGCCATGGCTATTTGAGAGTAACTGTAGCGACAGGATAAGAATAGACTTAGGTGGCAAATACAGAAGGAAATCTCCATTTTTATACAGAAAAAAAGCAGGTTGATATGTAGTTATACTTAATTACGTTTGGTTAGATGGACAAATACTGGGGAAATATTAATGAAGGACAAAAAAATGCAAGGCAGATAATACATATATTATTGATTTGTCTGCATTAAATAGGATCGCCCACGGTCCAGAGTGCAGTCTCCTCCGGTACCTGCTAGGAAAAACCAGCTTCGTGCAGATGGTAGGTGTTAATTGCCTATTTCCTTTTAGGAGTAGTGTTTATTCTTCTACTAGTTAAATTTGTTCCTAAACTTCACAAACTAACTCGCCTTTCCTTTAAGATGTTAGTTTCTTAATGTATGAAATTGTGATATATATGTCCTGAAAAGCATATTGGTGATATCATGTGTTGCTTTTATATTGGATGTATATGTATAGATCTAGCATTAGAAATAGTCTACCATTGACTAAAATTTTAGTTGGACAAACTAGATTTTTATTTTCTGAAGTAGATTAAGTAAGCATTTTGTCCTAATTAACTTGATTTATTTTTCACTTATCCATGGAAAATTGCAGAGGAGAAAAAAAATGTAATTAATGAATTATCAGAAATGAGGAAACAGCTTCGCAGTGAAGAACGGCGTCTTCAAGGAAAATTGCTGCAGGTGGATGGTGATGATGAAAGAAGCACCAGGTAAGACTTTGTGACAGGCTTTCCAAATTGTTCTCTGTATCCTTTGATCATGTCTCAGACTCTTCTGTGGGTTTCCATTAGTCAGCTAAGAGAGGATGCAAAGTTACTGTGTGATTTACTTGAGATCGATATATTTTGATAGTCACTTTAGTTGAAATGTAGGCAGTTTGTGTGCATGTTTGTACAGGTAGTTGCTGAAATTAGTAACAAAGATTAACCTGTAATTTAAAATAATTTGTTTCCGTTTGGAATGTGTTATGGAGATTTGTATCAGTTTTCATTCTTGAAGCACTGGCTAAGGAATGGGCAAAGTTAACAGGAAAGATTATCTGTGGATGTTCTAGGTGAAAGGGATTTAAATATTTTCCATTAAAAATCCATAAAGTACATAAATGACATATAAATAATGAAGAACCGAATGCCTTTTGAAGATTTACATATACATTTATATATGTACAGGCTTTTTGTTTCTCAAATATGCATCTTTAATTTTTTTTCATTAAGCATTTGGCAGTTCTTCTGTAACAGAAGTATCATTTTTATGAATCTAGGATTTTCTTATTTTAGAAAATGAATCTAAGAGAAAAATATCAAAGTGAATCACTGAAATTTATTTTATGAGGAGCTGGCCAAATAAATGAAATTTTGATTCAGTTGCATCATATACCATTCTCTCTTTATGTAATCCTATAATGGTAGCATTTGATTTCCAACCTTTCAGATGCTTGTGGAAAAAGTCCGGAATGTGTGACTCAATCCATTAAATCACTGACCTGTGCTCCAGTACGGAAAGCCAAATGAGATTAATAATAGTTAACATAATGTTTTCTGTGTCTCTTTTAAATTGTAACTAGTTATAGGTATTGCTTTCTTACACAGTGTGGTGATTCAGGCCAGGCTGCTGCTGAGTACCTGGTTAAAGTTACCATTTCCAAAGATTAAGAGTTAAGGGAAATATGACATAATTATTCCTTTGTTTTCAAGGAATGAAGGATGACTCTCCCACTCTTTTAGGAAATACAAGTCACCTAGTCACTGGCCCTTCTCTATACATGTAATTGCGTAAATGTCTTGGGTATTACAACTATCTATATCTATATCTATATCTATATCTATATCTATATCTATATCTATATCTATATCTATCTATCTATCTATATACACATATATACACACACACACACACAAAATATACAACATGGATATTAAAGGATAGGAGTAATACTTATGTTATGGGCCAATCATTTAATATTAAACTACTATATCTATCTGTCTATATCTATGTACATATATCTACATATATCTTTTGTGTTTTAGGGAGGCATGATTGACTGTGATATGACTTTATCCATATAATAATCCATTTTATAGTATGAATTTTATGTAAGACACTTTTTCTTAAAGCATCTTAAAAAAATTACAACCATCCCTTCACTAAGGTTCAAAATATCCTATAAGTAGATGTATTACATATCATAGCATTACTTAATATAATTTTTAATACAAAGAAATGGTGTGAATGATTTTTAAAGCTATTTTTCAAGATCATACTGCTAGTCAGTATGAAAAATGTGGCTTGTAGTATAGGAATTTAAACACTGAATGATATTTGCTTTTGTTGGATTATGTTTACTATTATATCCTACCTATCCATAGGAAAAGGGAAAAGTATCCCATGGATATATTTGATATGGCCAGGTTTCGCTTGCAAGCTCCAGTCAGAAGACCTTCTTCCAAAGGTCTAGATCCTACTGCTCAGAATATTCGTGACTTTAATTTTCTTAAAGACATGGGTAAGTAGACATCCTTTTCTTTAAATAGATACATGAACATTGTCTACTCATGTTCAAGAACTTTAAAAAAGAGCTGACTGATCAAGAGGATGACGGACTAGTTGTTTTCTGCCAAGTTCTCCAATCCTAAAACCTCAGAAGAAAGGAATTATGATTGAGATAAAATTTAACTAAAGCTGAATCCACATGATAAATTAGAATCTCTACACAAGGTTAAAATTCCCATATTTAATACCAACAACTTCAAAGAGTTCTTATCTAATGTCCTTTAAAAATAGAAAATAAAGGTGTCTGCTTTTTTGCAAACTGTATAAAGCTCCTTATGAAATCATATATCAAATCATGATCCTATAACCAACTCCCTGAACCCAGAGAAGACTCTCAGGCTTGTGAGTTGGGTTTGGGCTGCAAGGATCCCTTGTTGCAGTAACTTGTCCAGAGTGTTCTCTTGATTCACAGATACCAATTCTATTCAGTCATACAAAGGAAAACAGTGACAGGAGTTAGGGTGAGGATGTGGGGAGGCACTGCAAAACTAGGGTAGGGTAGAAGGTATCCCAGCCCCACTGCCCCCTGCAAACTCCCATTCAGAGCCATAGGCTAGAGGAAAAGAATCACTGGGTCTGAGGGAAAGGGAACAAGAAACTCATCTAGAGCCAACCCTCTTCCTGTTGGAGGTTATAAAGGAATAGGGACCCATGCTTGACCAACCCTCATATCTCTTAATATAAAGAGACTGAGGTCCCCTACTAACTCAGCTTCAGGGGTCTGAGGATGGGAAGGGCCAAAAAATGATGAGGCCCAAAAGTGAATGATCAGGAAGACAGGAGAAAAACTGAAGGACCAAAAGATCAAGAGAGAAAACCTGAATAAGAACCTAGCTCAAAAGCAGATAAACCAACAGAGAGGAGAATAAAAGCAGAAGGAAGAATGAATAAAATCTCTAAGAGAAAAAAAGTTCTCTGAACCAGTATTATCACATGAAGGAAAATTATATTGTATTATCTGAGGAAAGAGAGATGTCTGTAACTTATCCTGAACCCATGGCATAGTAGCAGGAAACTTCCAGAATGGTTCAGAGGAGACATTTATTTAAGGAATTTGAAATGGTTTTAGGTTGGAAATCAAAATTCTCAGTGCAGAATTTAAAAACTTAAACAGAAGAGTAGAAAAAATTGAATACATAGTGAATTTATCCAAACAAGTAGAAGTTGTCAGAGAGATGATAGGGATGCCCCTGTCATTCTCAGTGTTCTAGTCCAAAAATAAAATCATGTTAGCTTATTTTAAAATGAAATTTTAAATTCATTCTCAAGGAAATAGCATAGTAACATGTAAAATATTTGATTTCTTGTACCAGATTCAGAAACACGAGTTGATTTGAGATATATGTACCCTGAGTCTCCAAAAGATGATCAAACCTTGGAGATTCAGCAGCAGGCATTGCTGAGAGAGCAGCAGAAGAGACTGAATAGACTTCGAATGAGAGAAAATGCAGAAAGTAAGAAATAAATGCTTAGAACGGTGTCATTTCAGACGTTTTTAAAAATTTTAATCTTTACCATGATGTTTTCCTACTTTTGAAGGAAATTTATGCTCAATTATTCTATAATACATCTTTCATATTTTTAAAAAAGTAAAAGAAGCTATCTGCAAGTGTATTTGGTACCATTAACAAATAGTATTTTTCTGAAGTGGATCATTTATACTCCTCTGAAATCTATAGGAAAATGACTTGGGCCAACCTTGACTTAGGTCAGTTTTGGTGTTCAAGTTTGGGTTTGGAACAAAGGGAGACACTGGTAGACTATCTAATATATTTACCAAAAGGACATTTACTTAACAGTAGCCTGAAAGTGATATGGAGCAGGTATACAGTGTCGATTCATGTGGGCACAGCTCACCTGCCCCTACATTTAACATGATTGCACCACAGGTCAAACCTAAAACCCCTTGTGCCCAGTGCTTTTATATTTAGAAGACTGGGAAGCCAAGTCAACTGTTTGAACCTTAATTCTCTGAGTCACTAAAGTTTCAATATTAGTTTCATTGCCATTTTTATTCTTTTGGAGGGGGAGAAGGTTTAGCCTACAGTATGTGAAAGTTCTTGTCCTTCAGTTATTGTTAAATTTTTAGCCCTTTCAAGTTTCTAGAATGTAGCATTATTGATAGCCTCCTTAGCATGATAGATTGATGGAAAAAAAAAGAATAAAACATCTCATTTTAAAGAAATGGGAAATTTCACCCTTCCAATTCAAAATAATTACACAAGGTAATAGAAAAGCAAAATACCTCTCCTAAATTATTTCCTAAATTTGTGTATGTGTATGTATGTATAGATTCTTTATTACGACAGTACTCGACTTACTTAAAATAAGAATTCCATGGTGCTAGTGACTAGCAGTCATTTGTTCTGGATAGTTTCTCACAGAGCCACTTTAAAAAAGATGTTTGTTTTCTCAGGGCAGTTGAAATGTGTTATGAAAATGTGATGTTTTTAGCTTTTAAACAATTTTCTCTCTCCAAAATTAAGTTCCTACTTCATATAATTACTTACTGCATAGACAGTTGGATGGATGAATCTTGCATGTTGGACAAATTTATCACTGTCGTTATGGCTTCTGTCCCTTTTTGAAAAATTGAGATTATTTGTGCTATTTTACATACAACTCTTTCAGATTGTAGTAAAAATTTCTCTAAAAGTTTAGGGAACCTATGGATCTTGAATTAATTTCTTTCTTCTTGGCAGAAGCTTTCTTTTTAGGCTACAATGCTCTCATTTTTCTTGCCTGCTAGAATTAATGGCAACAGCAGCAGAGTTGTGGGTGATAAAATAATAAGGAAGTACTTAGGTTAAAATACTTTTCTGATCTATCATAATATAACAGGAGATTTTCAGTAAAAAGACATCCTTTTATTTTCATGTGCCAGAAAGATGCTAACTTATTTCAAAATATATATGCATTTGTGCTTCAGTAGTTTTAATTTTGTATTTTGTTTGTGGTTTGGGTTGAATGCAGTTGACCTTGATGCAAGTGCTGGCATTAACTTACAAGATACTGGAATGGTAAGAAACCAATAGCTTTTCCCTCTTCTTTTTCACTTCAATATAATATTTTGGGGAGCAATTCTGTGCAAAATTTTACAACTTTGAATTCTAGTTTGGGGCTATGCATGAATATTCTTTTGGAAGATTAAAAATAAATGTAACCTTTCCTCCTGTAAATACTCTCTAATGCTGGAAAAACATTTTAAAATATGTTATTCAGGTACTTTCACTGACACAAAAGTAATCTTCATCTAGAAAATGTATGTATGTTATCTTGATATTTTGTAGATATTTGCATGATAAAAGACTATTTAACTGTCATTTAATACTTATAGTTTTATGTGGTAAATTATGTTCTTTTCAGCAAAGCTTGAACTAAAGTTGTTTTTTTTTTTTAACTTTTGGCTATTTTTTTTTCCATTGAATTACATAGTGTTAAAGATCATTCAGTCCAGCCTCCATATTTGGCCAGCTGAGGCTCAGGAAGTTGAAGTGACTTTTGCTTAAGGTTTTGTTTCAGTAAAGCTGAAGACAAAAAAAGATCAAAGTAGCCTTGATCCCCCCTAAGCCAGTTGTGATGTTCGCACATTATGGCTGACTGTGATCTCCACTATTTTTAGCTGAATTTTGTGTATTGCTCCTTGGGGTGGTAGCAGAGAAGTTGGGGGAATGAATTGGAACCACTCTTTCTATGCCTTGCCAACTCTTCTGCCACTTTTCATAAATTCTTCTTGAAACCATTTATGTTGTGGCAAACTTGTGCTTTCCGTTAGTGATTCTGATGCATTGCCCAACACTGGATTTAATAAAAACAGGCATGCTAGTATATTTATTGTCAATCTTTATGACTTCTTTTATAGCCTAGGAATGAAACTAGGGATTTCCTGAAAAATTCTCTTTTGGAATCTGAGAGTGCTTTTATTGGTGAGTAAATTTATTTAACCTTTACCTAAGCTATATTAAAAATATATGGTAATACTCTTTATATTACCTGTGTTTCTTCATGTTAGCACACCTAATATACTAATTACTGTATTATCCACCATGATGAGAGAATGCCACATTGTTTTTGGTCTTAGCAAATTTTGATTACAATGATCAGATATCTTCGTGTATTCCCAGTTTTTAAACAGTTATACACCATGAATGTTCTCTTCACAACAAAGTCAAATTGAACATAATTTAATCTTGATAATTAACAGTACACTTCAGGATCTGGAAGAGCTTCAGGGTCACCCTTATTAAGATAAGTCATCAAGTTACACTTTGATGACAAAGTGGTGTTCTTTCATTGCTGTAGCATTTGCTTCAAAACCCTGTTGGAAGGTAGCTTCTTTAAAGAGCCTTGCTTTACAGATTGATTACGGTGTAGAATCTTAGCTATTTGATCATGGTGCATGTTCATTGTGTTGGCAAAGAGATTGTCTGTCATACAAGGTGAATGCCTGGCCAGGAGGAAGACATGAATGGAGGTCATTGAGGATGTCAGTCAGTTTTAGCACCTACCGTGTACCAGGCACTGTGTTACTCACTAGGATAAGCACAGATCTAGCCATAAAAGCCTTGGCTAGGTCAAATAAATATATAAAATATAAATTAATGTAAATAAAACAATTCTAAAATCCTTTAATCACCGCTAACAAGGGGGGAAAAAGCATCTAACTTTTGTTATGAAATATTGGAAGAATAGGATCTCATTTTGAAGCTATATTTTCTGTTTTCTTAGGAAAACAAAGCCATAATAATGACCCTAAAGCATTTCAGGATTCTGTTGTGTCTTCTGAATAATGAAAGCTTAAATGATTTTTAATACACTTTAATGATTAAATATATTATAAATATTTATTGCAAGTATATGTAAGTATATAATTAAGTATATCATCCACTTTATTAATCAAGATATTTTATAACATACAATGGGATTAATAAAAATTTCCTTTTAGGAAAATTTCTAATAAATAACTAAGCTAATAGAATAATTCAGTGTTTGTTGTATTAAAACTTAAAAAGTTTTTATTGATGTACTTTTTACATCATTATAGTTTTTCCCAGGACCCTTCTCTCTCCTGCTCCCAGGGAGCCAGTCTGTATAACAAATAGTATTTTTTAAAGACAAAAAAGAGGGAAAAACAATACATGATTAATATATAAAAAATGCAAAAATGTGTATTGTGCAACATCTGTAGACTTCCCCTTCACGAAGGGGTGGGTTGGGAGTGTCCTCTCATATCTCTTCTTTTCAGTCATGATTGATCATTATATTTTGCAGCATTTACTTTTGATTTTTTCTAAGTGTGTATTGTATTAAAATTTAAGACATATACATTTATTGTAATATGAGGGTATTTTGTAGATTTCTTTTTGAAGTATCATCTGTCTTATCCAATAACAGTTTAACAAATATTTATGAACCAATCCCTAAGCTGTGTGGTAGAGATTCAAAGATTCAGTAACTTGAGCAAGCATTTATTAAATGTCTACTATGTGTCAGGCATCATGTTCAGTGCTGAAGATTTAAAGATCACAAACAAACAGGGGCATGTGTGTTATATTCAAAGGCTTACATTCCACTTGACACTGAGTGTCAAATATACTGAGTACTCTGAGTACACTGAGAAAGTAAACAAAGTATATGGAAAATAACAGAAAGCAGTGGGTATAGGGATAGAGCATTAATAATGGAGTTACCAGCAAACATCTCATGTGAAAGGGGGCACCTGAACTGTGCTTTGAAGGAAGTGAGGGGTTCTGAGAGGTAGAGGGAAGGAAAGAGAGGATGTACATTCCAAAAGGACCCAGTCCTTACATTCAAGAAACTTGCACTCTAAGGGGGAGAAGAGAGAAGGGAATAAGTATTTATATAGTCCTTTTAGGATGAGGCACTGATCCTTACAATAACTGCGAGGTAGGTGCTATTAATATCCTTTTTTTATTTTTCAAACAGTTGAGGAAACTGAGGCAAATAGAGGTCAAGCAAGTTGCTCAGGGTCACACAACTAGTAAGTGTCTGAGGCCAGATTTGAACTGGAGTCTTGATAACTCCAAGACCAATGATCGATCACAAAATTCTTTCCAAGTACAACCTAAGTATTTTAAAGTTTCTTACCAAGAAAGCTACAATTTTATGTAGTGGAAACAACACTAGAGTTGGAATTAGGAAACTCACTTGAACTGTCAATCCTGGCTCCAACCATAGTCAAGTCACTTTGTCTTCACTTGCCTGCTGCCTGTCTTAAGTGGTTGTAGTCAGAAAAGAGGTGTATAGAGCAAAATACTATAGAAATGTACACCATTATAATAATTATTATTTTAAGTTACATATGGGTTTATAAAATGCTACAGTTTGAGCAATGGCAGTATCAGTGAAAAATAACTATTGGCTATCATTGACTTGGTTGTATTAAATATAGCCTTGATTCATCATGAGATGACATCAGTAGAGTAGGTGTAACAAAACTTTTTTCCACCCTTATGTCAAAGAAAGGGGTAAGGAAGAAGGAAATGGTAGGGTTCCATGATACATCTTTGTAAGAAACAGTGATTAGCAACAGAATGTTCATTATTTAGTACTTGACTAACAGATCTGTTAGTTACAGATTATAGTGCTGGTTGTCACCAATCTGGGTTGTTGAGGTCTGGGTCAGATTCAGTAAGGAGTCAGTTGAGGACCTACATGGTGCAGTGGATGGTGTGCTGGGCCTGGAGTCAGCAAGACTCATCTTACTGAGTTCAAATCTGGCCTCAGTCACTTCACCCTCTTTGCCTCAGTGTCCTCATCTATAAAATAAACTGGAGAAGGAAATGGCGTATGTTTGCCAAGGAAATCCCAAATGGGCTCACAAAGAGTTGGACATGCTTGAAACAACTGAACAACAAACCAGTCCATTAAGAGTGAAGTGAGGAGCCATGATGTATTCCTGCTAACCAGTGCAGATAGCACAGATGGGTATCATCTAACCTCAGGCCTGATACAAGAAATTCCTTATATATATGTTTTCTTAAGGCAGAATTCAACGTCACATTTCTGTGAAAAAAGTACCAAAAAAAACCCTTCATAAAATAGGTGGTTATACAAAAAAGAATAGCATACTTGTTAGAGAAAAATGTATATTTTTAACTTTGGGAGATAAGTAAAGGAGCTCTTGTCTGAGTAGGGTTAAATCAAAGAAATCTGTCCATTGGACCAGAAAGGGAGGAGAATTTTCCCAGGATTCTGGAATCCTTCACCTTCAGCAGCAAAGTCTTTTGGTACTGATAAGAGGCGAGAATGAGACACTGAAGGACACATCTACAGCAGCTAGTGTCCTTTAGCTCACAATAAAATAACTGACAAGACAAGTCAGTATGCTTTGAAACAAGTTGATAGAAACCATGGAAGTGGGTTGGGGTATCTTTGTATTACACAGACAAGGGCAGGGAAGGGTTACTCACAAGCAGTAGCTATCACCAGGAAGCTGGCTGAAGTTAGTCTCTGGGGTTCATTGGGGCGTGTGTGCAGGCGAGGTAGTTTTGTTCACTTCTCCCATGATTCCTCCCTTTCACTCAGTGTACAGCATTCACAATACGATAGGTTCAAGTCAGTTGCTTGTGCAGCAAAATAGGAAGCTTATTTCAGTGAGGGTTATGATGATGATGTTGAAGCAAAAAGGTAGAAAACATATACAAAATCTAGAACATTCTCTTAAATATTAACTAGCAAACAACTGTACTGCAATAAATGTTGTGAATAAAAGCAATTTAAACAACCTAGGTCTTAAACGTTCCAAAAAGGCCAGGATACCTAAGAGACAATGGACAATAAACATATCAGAAGGACAGAAAGAAACAGAGAATGCAACTTAACGTCCATTTAGAGAACAGGAGTTTTTGTCCTATCTTGGGTTTAGCTGTCTGTTTTATGAAATCGTCTGTTTCTGGGAGGCATCTTCGTCTGGAAATTTTGAGTCACAGGCATCTGTCGTTGACTACTGTTAAATTTGATCTACTTAAACTCAGAGATATGCATTCCTCAGTCAATATCCTGTTGTCTTTAACTGGGCGGTTAGTTGTTGATGGAATGTGGAATGGGCCTTTTCGTCCTTGTTACTAGGGCAGGTTCATGGAGAGTATTTCCTTACTCATCACTTTTTGGAATTTTCTAGGTAAAGCTGCTAAAATCTGTTACAGATGAGACTTAGTATCATTTAATAAAACCTGGCAAAATTTAATCACATTGGCCTTCCAGTAATTAGTTGATGTGAGGAAAACCTATTCAGACCGTATGAAGATAACCTTAAAAACAAGAGAGCTGCAGGAAGGACAGCAAAGTAGGCTATCCATATGTTCTCTGAATGTTTCAGAGAATTTAATTTTCATGTACCACTTAGCTCTTTCTGTCTTTACCCAAACCCTATGTGTTGTGGTATGGATAATGTTATCTGTAGGCTAGGGAGGTAATCTTAAAAAGGATGCATGAGGAATTATTTTCCCTTCTGTAACAATTGAAGCAATTTTATATAGAAAATCCTCAATCTCGTTTGAGAATTTGTAATTACTAAAGTGAAGTCCAAAAGCCTGTATGTCTTAGGCAGTTTTCTTACCAAAACAGAAAAATCATCAATTAGACCTAAAAGAAGTTTAGTATTTTAACTCTACCTTTTTCAGTCTTATTCTTTATTACCTCCAGGATAAAAAAATAAAAAATGAATCATCTAAGGCCATCCTGTTTACTTGACCTTTATTTATTTATTTTTGGCTAGGGGGTGGGGTTAAGTGACTTGTCCAGGGTCACACAAGCTAGTAAGTGTTATGTGTCTGAGGCCAGATTTGAACTCAAGTCCTCCTGAATCCAGGGCTGGTGCTCTATCCACTGTGCCACCCAGCTGCCCCTTTTTCATTATTTTTAATAGAAACATTTGGATGCCAATCATATATATTCTAGTTCT